AGAGCAAGTAACAAGCAGATGAGACTGAGGCTCTCTCAGCACTGCAGACCAAGCTGGTTTTTCAGCTCAGGGACTCCCCAGGCACAAAAACTGTCGTGTGATAGTCTCCCTCCATGGGCCTCAGAGCAGCTTGGTGACACTGACCTTGTTGAAGTCCTCGGCTGTTGCCCTCATCTCCTTCCAGGTCTTGTTCAACAGCTGGATGCAGATTCCAAAGAGCTCTTCAAATGCGCGGTCATGGGTGAAGAACATTGGGTGGTAATCATTGCGCCCCTCATTTGCTACAAAAGGAAAGAAGCAGGAAAAGGGTAAAGGCTCTGTCTGCAGAGACCTGGGAGCTCACATCCAGAAACTTTGGATTTTCTGCACCAAAGTCCTGAGGGACAAAACTGACCAAGGACTTTGGCTAATGAGGAGTGCAGGCAGATGGGTCTTTCTCCCTTTCCTTAGCTTTCTCCTTCATGGTGCTTTTTCTTGGTCTGCCTCTACCCTGTCACAGACTCAGCTAGCCCTTACATACAGGCTTTTTGAACATGGCTTAAATCACCAGCTCAACCAAAGCAACAACCATGATTCCCATAAATAAGGATAAGATAGATTATCAATTCATGCAGTGATTAAAAAAACCATATAAGGTCGTCCAGGCTGGCTGGTTAACTCAGTTGGTTAGAGTGCTGTGTTACAGCATCAAGGTCAAGGGTTTGGATCCCCATATCAGCCAGCCCCCAAAAAAAAAAAAAAAAAAAAAACAAAACCAAAAACCAGGTTGTCCAGTCCCATGAACATTTAACTGTTTATAAGCTTGAGTCTTTCCAGGCTCTTTGTTACAAGGAACAGCTGAAGGAGGAGAGGGAGACTTACGTAGTTCCCCAACCTGTAGGATTTCACAGAGCATTTTGGTGAGCTCAATGGCACTGCGGCCAAAGGGGCATTCGTGCTTGTCTTCTCGGCTGCTGTTCTCCAAGACAATCTAAGGGGGAAGAGGAAAGGGAGGATTAGGAGGTGAGGGAGGAAGTCAAGAGATGTGGCCCTGGGACTGAGAAGTCCAGCCCCCTGCCTTTACCCGGATGTAGGTGTCCTGGTGGACTTTAGCCAAATAGAGCATGTTGTCTAAGGCCAGCATTCCAGGAGGAGTCTGGGTAAAGTCCATGGCCGGGTTGATATGGTTCTGGAGAAATAAAAACACCAATTTGAGAATCAGCAGTCTCCCTTTGTGGGGTATGACCGGAGGGGAGGCCCTGTTCCCTTCCTCTCCATGCTGCTAGTACTTTGTACTCACCTCTGTCCTAGCTCTTTCCACATTCCTGTTCTACCACTGCACTGCAAGCTCCAAGAGTGCTGGACTGTGGCTGCCTCATTCCACATCCCCAGCGCCTAGCATGTTGCCAGGCACTGAGTAAGTGTGCAATAAATACCTAATCCAATTAACATCAAGCTGTATTCTATCGCAAATATTCGTTCTAGCTTTGCGAAGAACTTAGCTGCTTTGGTGAGAGGACAGGTCCCCTCTACCCAGTGGCTGACTTCCTGGGCTCTCCTTGAGATGAATTTATTTCATGGGGCCAAATGTTGCACATGAACTCAGAAGTCCACTGTCCCCAAGCAAAACAAGCATCAAGACCCCTCCAGCTTCTTACCATCATCTATCTCAGTCACTGTTATGAAGAAGGGGTTGTCAGGGCTCTGTCTGGGTGGGCCCTCTGACTTCCTGTCAGGGGAGAAGGCCTACAATGACCTGCACTTTGGGGTACTTACGGTAAATCCCAGCATTTTGTAGTCCTTGGTGTACATGGCTTTGCGCTTTTCAGTCCCACTCCCGGGGACATTGTTAGGATCAGACTCAGCATCAAATGCAATCCTCCTCAGTTCAAATATAATGTCTCTTTGAGCCTGGGAGGTGAAATGGACAGTTAGCAGGTGAATCAGCTAGCTAAAGGAAGCAAGAAAAAGAAACAGTGGGTCAGACTTTTCTGGGCCAAACTCTGGCAGCAATCAGTCTCTTAGGAGGCATCACCTCTACCACAGCAGTATAGAAATGGGTTTGGCCCACAGAAGGTCACCCAACAGGTGCAGACCACACTAGATTTTCAAGGGCAGACGCAAACCACTTCTGTAGACAAACACCAAGCACGGTGCCTGGCACACAGATTAAGCAAGGGCAGACTGCACCACAGCTGTGAGGACATAGTTCACGGTTTCAGCCAGGAAGGCTTTGCCCCACTTAGCACCTACTTGGTCATTGGGGTCCATCTTGGTCATCATCCTTTCTTCCAGAAGGTTAAAGGTCAGTACTTGAAGGACATACAGCTGATGGGCCATCTCAGTTTTGATTGGGCGGTTCCCTCGGATCACATGCTAGAAAAAGCAAAGCCAGGAAGCAGGGGCTGAACTGATTGTCTCTTTTACTGAAGAGCCACATCCATGCTAATGAAAAAGAAAGCACGCTGGGCAGGGGACAGAGCTTTCCTCCCACACATGGGGATTTCATGTTCTAGAAGGAGATGCAGCATAAATGGGCTTGCTTCAGGCAGGGATGACTCACTGCAGGCCCGAAGGGTACCATCCCTTCTTCTGCACCATGCCAGAGATCAGGGAGGCTACCTTCTCAAGGTTGTGACATGAGACATCGGCCACTGGACCTTACTCCAATTAGGCACCTCACAGGACCACTAAAACCAAGACAACAGACAGTGTACATGGGGAAAGAGTTGTTTTTCCCTCAGAAATATAAAGTGTCTTGGATGGCTTCACCTAGTAGAGAGGCTTTAGAAAAGGTCATTTTCTTTAAGTGATAGTGAGACACCCATGCAAGGGAGGAACATCTAACTCTCCTGCCCAACCCCCTCACACAGCCCTCTCTCCCTCTTTTCTCTGACATCTGTCCCCCTCCTTCTCTCTCCCATCACTGTGTATGTCCTTCCCAACCCACATCCCCAACCCCGTGTCCCTTTGCCTCCTCTCTGTCCTCCCCACTCTCTCTCTGTGCCCCCAATTTTCCTGTCAGTTCATCACCTCCTCCGTTTGCCCCTCTGATGCCCAACCCCACTTTAGGTCCCCTTGTCTTCTCTGCCCATCTTTCTCTTGCATGCTTCGTCTCTCTCTGTGTGGTTGATGGACACTTGATTGTATTCTTGTCACTCATTCTCCTTTTCTCACTCTAGCAATGCCCTGCTCTCTCCTTGCTCCCTTGTATCTCTCCTCCCTCTCCTTGCCTCACCTGCCATCTTGAATCCTGTCACTCTTAGTTTCTTCTCTCCCAAATGAGACTCTCATCCAGTTTCCCCCGAGTCCCACCTCTGTGTCCTTCATGTTCTCTTACTCAGAAGCTCTATGTCTCTAGAGCTGTGCTGTCCAATGTGGTAGCCATATGCAGTTATTTGCATTTAAATCAGTTAAAACTAATTTTTGTTAAAAATTCAGTTCCTCAGTTGCACCAGCCACACTTGAAGTGCTCAACAGTAACATGTGGCTAGTGGCTACCATGTTGGATACTACAGAGATAGAATATTTCGATTAGCACAGAAAGTTCTACCAGATAGCACTACTCTAGAGCTCTCTAACTCTAGATCAATATCCTTTTAAAGGTTCCTCTAACTTTAGATTAGTTCTCTCTAGAGCCTGCTCGGGCTGTAGATCATTCTCTTTAGACCTGTGCAGTCCAATTTGGCAGCTACTAGGCACATGGAATGTGGCTGGTCCAAACCAAAATGTGCTGTGAGTATAAAATGCACACCAGATGTCGAGGCCTTAGTGTGAAAAAAGAAAATGTAAAATGTCTCACTAATAATGTTTCATGTTTATTACATGTTAAAATAATAATGCTTTGGGTATCTTGGGTTAAATAGAATGCACCATTGAACTTAATCTCCCCATTCCTCTTTTAAGGTTGCTGCTCTAGACCTTTTCCCTTGTCGTATGACCCGAGAGTGCTCTTCCATCTCCATCTCTTTCTTTCTCTAGATCTGCGCTGCCCAGAATGGTAGTGTGATATTATATCTATTGGTTTTTGTCCATAGTTCCTGGCTCATAACTCCAATAACCCTTGTTCTTTTGTTATAATGTTGGGCACGTTAGCCCTCAGAAAATGGCATCTCTCTGACCTTCTCCTGCCCTCTTTTCACCTGCTCCTTTTTCTCCCTGAGGCAAGCCACAGAAAATAGAATCCCTCTTCCCCAAGGCGGGTCACAGAAACCAGACCCATTTTCCCTGATGCCAGGGTAAAGACTAAGTATATACGAATCTTTCCCCCATCTTTTTGCCTTGGACCTGGCCATAAATAAGTTCTCTGACCTACGCTGGCTGATTGTAGGCCATAAGACTCCCATTCCAGAAGGGGTCCTTCCCCATACCCCAGAGGGAGGAATGATGCACAGAGAGGGCAGAAGAACCTGAACAAACAGGCCTTGCCGGGTTTCTCCATCCAGTTTGCTAGTGTTGGATCATACCCTTTTTGTCCAGTCACATTTCTATCTGGTTGGCAATATTTCAATCATGCCTATATAATGAAGCTTCCATAAAAGCCCAAGAGGACTGGGTTTAGGGAGCTTCCGGATAGCTAAACACATGGAGGTTCCTGGAGGGTGGCATGCCCTCCTGGGGAAGGCATGGAAGCTCTGCACTTCTTCTCCCAAACCTCGCCTTATACATCTCTTCATCTGTATCTTTTGTAATATTCTTTATAATAAATGGGTGACCATAAGTAAGTGTTTCACTGAGTTCTGTGAGCCACTCAAGCAAACTAACTGAACTCAAGGAGGGGGTTGTGGGAACCCCAATTTACAGCCAGCTGGTCAGAAGCACAGGTAAAACAACCTGAAGCTTGCGATTGGCATCAGAAGAGGGGGGCCATCTTGGGGACCACGGGATCTGTCCCAAGACTGTGGGATCTGACGTTATTTTCATGTAGATAGTGTCAGAATTGAACTGGAGAACACCCAGCTGGTGTCCACTGCAGAAATGATTATTTGCTTGCTGATGGGGAGAAATCCCCACATGTATGGTCACAGAAGTCTGTTTCTGTGTTGATTGTCGTGTTCAGTAAAGGAATAGAAAAAACAGCGTTTTTCTCACTCAAGGAGCCACAAGCCACATATGGGTATTGAAATTAAAATCAAACTGTTCCCCAGCCACACTAGGTTTACTTCAAGTGCTCAGGAGCCACACATGGCCACTGGCTGCCATTCTGGACAGCACTTCCACAAACCAGAGTGTGTGCTAATGTGTTCCAGACCCTCTTCCCCACCTGCCGTGACTGTTTCCAGCTCTCTCTGGTTCCAAGCATAAGCTCTCTCTTCCCAGCTCAGTCTCAGGGGTTCCCACAACTCCCCAAGGTTACTTTCTTGCTCTGTGCTCCATGCCCCCTTCCGTCCCTGTTTTCCCAATCTCTCTCATTGCCCAGGTTACCCTGATTTCTCCCTATCTGTCTATCCTTATTCCTACCTCTCCACTTCTCTCCATAATCTCTAAGACAGCTGTGAAGAGAGGTAGAATTTAATGTGATCTTGGTTTTCTTTCACTTTATTCTCCTTTCTCAAACTTAAGAGACACCGTAGCGGGAAGGTAATTAGTCTGGTCATCAATGGCGTAATGAAGTACAGCTTCAGTCTGATAAGCTATAGTTTTAAAAGTTCTACCTGAAGTCTTACTTGACTGTAGATATCCTGATGTCTTAAGCTCTCTGGCTTGACCCCATGGAAATTCCTGGACTTCAGCCAGCACGTATCAATCATTGCCTGGCAGACCATTTAAGTCCTGAGTCCCAATGCTGAATTGTCTTCTACAGTGGAATCTTTGCTTGTTCACAAGGTTTGTCCAGAAATGATCTAAACTTCTAACCTCACTGAGGTAAATACTACCTCTCAAACATAATTAGACTCCCTCTAAAGGGCTGGTTACTCCCACACATGCAGAAGAGGGTGCCCAGGACAGCTGCTCAGAAGAGTAGACAGGAACGCATGCAAGCCTGTTCACTCTCTGTCACATGTGGGCAGTGTTCTAGCACTTGCTCAGGGCCCCTCCTGCCAGGCTGGGGGCAGGGCTGTGACCAGGGAGGCGGCCAGCAAGGAGAAGCTTGTTCTGCAAGGTGAAGTCTGGCAGACTCTGCATGTTTAGAGCAGCTGACTGCTCAACTTCACAAGTGCTCAGAGCTTACTTCTTGAATTCTATCACCTTTGCATCCTGCTCTGCCAACACGAACAGACTGCTTACCCAGTGCCAGCCCCCTGCTAAGCACCATATATATATTAGCTCATTTAGTCCTCACATCCAGATGCACAAATCAAAGCCCAGAGAAGTTAAGTGGATTGCTTAAGATTAAAAACTGGAAAATGGTACAGCAGGGGCTGGTCAACACCAAAGTCAGCATTATTAAATCTTTTACACTTGACTCCTGATTTTTCATTTTATTCCCTTTACTGTGGCCTCCCAGTTTCCCTTATGTTTGACAACTGATAAAACTGCTTCCTTTTAATCCAGGTCCTTGGCTCTCCTCCCC